AAAAAATTAGCCAGGCATGGTGGCGGGCGCCTGTAGTCCCAGTTACTTGGGAGGCTGAGGCAGGAGAATGGCGTGAACCTGCAAGGCGGAGCTTGCAGTGAGCCAAGATCGTGCCACTGCACTCCAGCCTGGGTGGCAGAGAGAGACTCCATCTCAAAAAAAACAAAAACAAAAACAAAAACACAGTGATAGGTAGGATTCCTGAAAAACATTATTAGTTTTTATTAAAAGGGTAGAAAGTGTATAAGCCATGAGGCTACGTGTATTTCTGGCATTCTAGCTGAAGCTATAAGCAAAATGCAGGGAGTTTAGTTACTCTTCAAAACAAAATATCTCTGGCATTATTTTATCTAAGCCAAATGAGACAGTTTTGAACACCAAATATGGAAAGTTTTATTTTAGTAAATTTATAATGAGCATACTATTTAATTTTACTGAGGTTAATAAAAGAGAAACTCTGTGATGAACAGAGCAAAGTAAGAAAATTTCTATTTCTATTTGTGAACAAAGTAGGAAGGCAAGGAAAGAGAAAAGGACAAGGCCTCTCCCGTGTCTCCCTCTTGGAGTACCACGGAGCAAAAGCCTACTGCAAGCATCTTCACTTAGTCCCCAGTCTTCTGTCCATGTCTCTAAAACACATTCCACTGTAACCACTACCCTACAGACCCTCTTATCCTCTCTGTCCTGTGCTTAGCCATATTCCTGAGGGGCCTCATGAAGTAGGGCTACTTAAGCATATCACTAGTCTGAATCTTTCTCAGAATAATAGAAAGTAATAAATTTGCTAGTCCTTCAACATAAATAAGGAAAAAAAATTTTTTTAAGTAATAAATTTACAATAACTGCTGGGGCAGAACATATAAATGAGCCACAATATTGTGCATGATACTGTCCAAATACCATGATAAAGGAGGAATTACAAAACAAATTACGGAAATATTTTAACTAGATAAATCAACTCTTTAAAAACAAGGCTAAAGATGAAAGTAAAATCATAAAAGACAAACAACTGGATAATAAGCATTTAAAATACTTGCTCTTGTTGGCCAGGTATGGTGGCTCATGCCTGTAATCCCAGCACCTTGGGAGGCCAAGGCGGGTGGATCACCTGAGGTCAAGAGTTCGAGACCAGTCTGGCCAACATGGTGAAACCCCATCTCTACTAAAAATACAAAATTAACTGGGTGTGGTGGCACATGCCTGCAGCCTCAGCTACTCAGGAGGCTGATCGGGAGAAGTGCTTGAACCTGGGAAGTGGAGGCTGCAGTGAGCTGAGACGGCGCCAATGCCCTTCAGCCTGGGCGACAGAACAAGACTTTGTCTCCAAAAAAAAAAATAAATAAATAAATAATTAAAAATAAAAAATAAATAAAAATTTAAGCAAGATACAAGTTTTCATCTAAAAATCACAAAGATCTGTTTTTAATAGCACCCAATAAAGGCAAAAAGTAATGAGATACGACAGGCATTATCTCACTTTGCTTGTGGAATTTAAACTGGCACTAAAATAATTTGGCAATATGTTTTCAAGAGTCTAAAATGTTCTTATTACTTGATCCAATAATTCTACTCACAGGACTTTGTACAAATAATAAAATGTGAACAAACACTCAATCCTTATTTCAAAGTGAATGTAATAAAGAGATAAAATGCAATACTCCACTTGCTTGGATCACCAGTTTTGCTAAAACACAAATAAAGCAAAAAGCAAAAAACTGAAAAAAAAAAAATAGCCACCTTGCCTGCCCCTAGTCAGGCCATACTAACCCATTTACTAGCTCTACCCCTCACGACCTTCTGACTTAACCAAGACAGACTGCAGTACAATCCTGTAAGAAAGGGAAAAAGCACACTGATACGTTTAAGAGTTTTCACATGACTGAAAATAAAAAGGGTTTTCCCAAGAAAGAAAAGAAAGTAATCTTCCAGATCGACTATGAAATATTACTTCCCCATTTATTTCATAAAGAAATCCAAATATATCTGTAAATAATTTCATTAGGCAGTAAGAATTATAACACAGCAAAGCAAAAATTTATTAGTCACATTGTAAGCAATTGATGGGCATTAAATAAAAGCTAAAAAAACACATGTCAAACTCCCTGTGCCACTTTAGAAATAAAATTAAATATAAAAGGTTTATTTCTTAGAAAATCAGTTTAAAAGCTACATTAAATGGAAAATAAATCCCCTTATAAAAATATGAAAAGTATCAAAACACAAAATCAGTATCAATAAATAAGACATGTGTCTATTCCCATTCACAGAGAAGCCACCTGAGTTCTACATCATAAGAATGCTTGAGGTAAGTTCCAGCCAGAGCAACTAAGAAAGAAAAGGAAATAAAAGGCATACAAACAGAAAAGAAAGAAGTGAAATTATTCCTGTTCACAGATGGTAGGCTCTTAAACACAGTAAACCTTAAAGATTCCACACAAAAAACATGTTAGAATAAATGAATTCAGTAAAGTAGCAAAATACAAAGTCAACATGCAAAAATCAATTGCATTTTTATAAACTAATAATAAATACGATGAAAAGGAAATTATGCAGTTTTTACAATAGCATCAAAAAGAAAAATATTTCAAAATTAACCAAGAAAATGAAAACCTGTACAATAAAAACTACAAAACATTGCTGAAAGATATTAAAGAACACATAAATAAATAGAAACACAGCTCATTTTCATGTACTGGAAGACTTAACTTTTTTTTCCCCATCAGTCTGTGTGGGAAAAGAAAGACTTAATATTGCTAAGATATCAATATCACCCAAACCAATTTACAGATTCACTGCAGTTCCTCAGAAATAGAAAAACTCATTCTAAAATTCATGTAGAATCTCCAGGGTCCCAAACACCCAAAACAATCTTACAAAATAATTAAAGCTGGAGAACTCACTCTTCCTGATTCCAAGACACATTACATAGCTACTGTAATCAAAATTGTGGTACTGGCATAAAGGCAGACATCTAGACCAGTGGAATAAATCAACAGTCCAAAACCTTTTTGGCACCAGGACCAGTTTCATGGCAGACAGTTTTCCCACAGACCAGGGAAATGGTTTCTGGATGAAACTGTTTCACCTCAGATCATAAGGCATTAGATTCTCATAAGGAGCATGCAATTTAGATCCCTTACACAAACAGTTCACAATAGGGTTCCTGAACCTATGAGAATCTAATGCCGCTGCTGATCTGACAGGAGGTGGAGCCCAGGCTGTAATGCTCATTCTCCTGCTGTTCACCTCCTGCTGCTCACCTCCTGCTGTGCAACCTGGTTTCTAACAGGCTGTGGACTGGTGCCAGTCCATGGCCTGAGGGTGGGGACCTTGGAACAGCTAACCTGGAAATAAAACTTCACATACACAAATACTTTTTGACAAGTGAGGGAAAGGACAGGCTTTTCAACAAATGGTGGGGAAAAACTGGATATCCACAAACAAAAGAACAAAGCTGGACACTCACCTAATACCATATACAAAAATTAACTCAAAAGAGATCAGGCTTAAATGTAAGACCTAAAACTATAAAACTCTTAGAGGAAAACACAGCGCAAAACCTTCACAGCATGAAGTTTAGCAATGATTTCTTGGATATGACACCAAAGGCATTGGAAACAACAATAAAAAATAAACAAATTGGAATTTCATGAAAAAATTTTAAGTTGTACATCAAAAGACACTATCAACAGAGTAAAAACAGCAAGCCACAGAATGGGAGAAAATATTTGCAAATTCATATATCTGATAAGGGATTATATCCATAATATATAAAGAACTCCTAAAACTCAACAACAATAAAACAAACCAATTCAAAAATGGGCCAGAGACTTGGCTATACATTTCTTGAAAGATACATAAATGGCCAAAAAGCACATGAAAATGTACAACATCACCATCTTTACAGAAATGCAAATCATAGCTACATTAAGATACCACCTGACACTCATTAGAATGGCCACTATTTTTTTTTTTTTAAAAAAAAAAAGGAAAATAAAAGTGTTGTTAAGGATGTGGAGAAATTGGAACCCTTGTGCACTGTTGAAGGGAATGTAAAATGGTGCAGCTGCCATGGAAAACAGTACAGTGATACCTCAAAATACTAAAAACAGAATGACCATGTGATCCAGCAATTCCACTTGTGGGTATACAGCCAGAAGAATTGAAAAGCAGGGTCTCAAAGAGATACTTGTATACTCATGTCCACAGAATTATTCACAATAGCTAAGACGTGGAAGCAACCCAAGTGTCCATCAATGGATAAGCAAAATGTGGTATCCTATAACACAGAAATACAGAAGTAAAACCAGAAGAAACGGCTAAAATAATTAAGGTTGTTGCCTCTTGAAAGTGAGACTGAGGGATGAAGTGAGTAAAAGATTACTATTTTTCTTTAAAAATGTATACCATCGTATTATTTAGCCTTTAAAGGGCAGAAAATTCTAACATAAACTACAGCATGTTAGAACCTTGAGGACATTAAGTTTAGTGAAATAAGCCAGTCACAAGAGAAATACTGTATGATTCCAATGATATGAGGTACCTGGAATAGTCAAAATCACAGACAGTGGAAGCAGAATAGTAACTGCCAGGGGCTAGTGGGAGGAGAGGAAAGGAAAGCTATTGTTTAATGGGTACAGAGTTTCAGTTTCAGAAGATGAAAAGAGTTCTGGAGATGGATGGCAGTGATGGCTGCACAACATTACCAACATATTTAACACCACTCAACTGTACACTTTAAAATGATGAAGATGATAGATTTTATATTATGTGTATTTTACCACAATAAAAGAATTGGAAAAGAAGAAAGCTCAAATGATATGAAATAAATTTTTTGTTAGATTTCAGTCATGGTTGCAGAATTTTTATCTGTATATTCAAACATTGGGCATTGATGTCTCAATTTTATTATATTAACAGTACATCATTAATCAATAGTTGAAGGTCTCTCATTTCATTTACTCTCTTGTTCAGAAGAAACTGAATTCTCTAACACTTACCTAAACTTGTGGGCTTGATGAGAACATCAAGGACATCATAAAAGGGCAGATTTTTTAACTGCACATCAGGATGGACAGGAGGAATTGGGGGAGATGGCTGCTGCATCTCAAATGTGGGCTTAGTATCTTGAAGCAGCACAGAACCAACAGGAGAGGATGGTGAGTGAGGTGTAACTGAAGTGGAAGGCAAAGAGTGGATTCCAGCCACGGCCAAGTCAGGTTCTACAGGTGATGAGCTACCATCCAAACTGAAAACCGATGATTTGATTGTGGATAAATCAGAAAGTCCTTCAAGAGTTCGTGGATATCGGCGTCTATACAATTCTCGGATTTTAATCTGAACCGCAGGGCTGCAGCCGCTCTTCAATAAATGCAGCGCCCTCATCAGGAGGTCATGCTTGCGTCCACTTTTATTCCGTCCAGCAAAGCCTAGTAATACTTGTAGTTCAGAAACCCTAAAACTAGAAACCATATTCTAAAAGGAAAGAAAAAAAACATAAGCCAAGTCACCCTCAAGCATACAAAAATCCTATCTAAAATATAATGTAAAATGTGATTTTTCCAGCATTCTATCAACTGGCATGTGCTAGTAACAGCATTTCACATACCACTTAGAATCATTACCATTCATAAGATAATCCCATAAAAATTACATTCAAGTTATGGTGTTAATTATATTTTGTTGTATGAGATCTTAATTTTGTAATCTATAGTCTATTGTTTTCTACTAACCACTTCATTATCTGATTATGCTCTAATGTAAACAGATATTTGCTTTATGATTATAAAATCTATCACCAATGAATATACTCATTTTCAAAACCAACCCCTCTCAATATGCAATGTAATGTCTAATGTTTGTTACAGAATTATCACCAATGAAAAATCACAATGTTAGATGTATAACTTTTGATGCTGAGTAGTAAATCTATAAAAATCAAGTCAGAACTCTGATCCAAAATGCAATGAATTTTTTACCCCAACTCAAATATTAAGGAACAAACATCATCATAAAGATATTTTAAAAAATATTAAAGCTAAAAATCACATACATCTTATTTAGCAGTCAGTCAAACTTCTAAAACGATTGAAATTCCCAGCTGGGTATCCAAATGACAAAAAGACCTTTGAAGAGCAAGGAAATGAGCAGTCATCAATCTTAAAGGGCAACATTTCCTCCACGCTACTCTACTGGCTTGTGCTTGGGTGTAAAACAAAGGTTATAAGCAGTTTCAGCTTCACATCACACCTTCTATTTTTTCAGCAAAACTTAATGAATATTTTTAACCCCTTGCAGCCTCAGGAATCCACCTACTTAGTGATTTCCAGTCAATTCTGAACTCAGTGGCAAATCACACTTGGGTCAGATACCACACATGCACCATCTAGCAAGAAAGAGGAAGAACACCTGGAGCTGACCAAAGCCCTGTCAGAAACGCACCCAGGAGACCTACCTGTGGTTTGGTGTCCCATCCCACCCTCATCACTCCTCCAACCCAGCCCATGCTACACACTCCACAGTCACTTAGGATTCCTTTTCAACCTGCTTGTCTCATCAGTATAGTGGAAATGTGGGGCAGTTTCTCTGTACTTTTAAGTCTCAGGGATGGCCCAGAAGCAATTGTTTAAAACTCTATATGGTTTTTAAATACTTGTTGGTATAAACACTTGCTAGTTTACTAAAATGCAAACAGATTTAAATATACCAAAGTCATCCATATACACTGTCATAACTGTACTTTGTGTACTATATATGTCTCCATATTTCATATTGTACAAGTGAGAGGATATTAAATTGTAATCCTGGCAGGCCATTTTATACTCTAATTCAGTGCTGTCCAACACAAATTAATAGAAGACACACATTAAACCTTCTAGTAGTCACATTAAAAAAACTGAGCCCAGAACAGTGGCTCACACCTATAATCCCAGTGCCTTTGGAGGACAACACAAGAGAATCACTTGAGCCCAGGAGTTCGAGACCACACTGGACAACATGGTAACATACTGTCTCTACAAAAATTTAAAAATTAGCCAGTCGTGGTGGTCAGTGTGCCTGTGGTCCGAGCCACTCAGGAGACTGAGGTGAGAGGATCACTTGAACCCAGGAATTCAAGGCTACAGTGAACTGTGATCACGCCACCATACTCCAGCCTGTGCAACATTAAGACTGTCTCAAAAATAATAATGATAATTTACATTAACATAGTTAACCCAATGTATCAAAACTATCTTTTCATCTCAACATGCAATCAATTTTTGTAATTTAAAAATAATCATTTTTTAAAGTGTCAGTGGGATATTTTTTCATACTAAGTCTTCAATATCTGGTGTATATTTTACACTGACAATACATCTCAATTTGGATTAACCACACTTCGAGTGCTTAAGAGCCACATGTGGCCACTAGCTACCAAACACTGGACAATGCAGCTCTAAATCATACTCTAAATAGCAACACATACCACAATGCCATGGTCACTGTATTTCAATTTGCTTTATTTCCTCCACATGCAAGATGAAGATTTTATTCATCTTACCTCTCTAGTGCAGACAACAAAGAAGGAAAACAAGAAAACTTTTGGCCTATCTCATAACAAAACAGTCACAGCTTACTCAACATCTCATGCATTAAATGGAAGACAACAGCTTCTTGGGAAGGGTTTACCCAAGCGAGTAATACGATGCATCTTTCCCTCAATCTTAGTAAATACTTCAACTGACTGTGGAACACTAACACTAAAAAAGGCAATCACACAGATACAATATAACTATGATTTTTTCTAATTCAGAATTCATTACTTTGCTTCACTCCTTATACTTACTGTCAGATACTCTTCATTTTAAGAATGTTTTACAGAAATGACAAAGCACAAAGTCACCCTACCTAAGCTTGACTCTCACAAGGAATTTCTAGGAGGTCTCATATCTCATATTTCCAGTGATAACATTATTTGACAAAGGATGTTAATGCAACTGGCTCTATCGACTGTTGTAAACAGACAAAAAGTAAGACATAAGGGCTTAGACTATGAATATGGAATCACAGAATTCTGAACAGCAGAGGGACAGTCTTTGCATTACAAAATGCTGCAAAGATAAAGTACTGCTGGAGACACAGCCAAAGGTAATGAAGTCAACAGGACCCTGTGAAAAACTTCAAGCCAGCAATCAGCAGTTGTTGTTCAAGCCCAAATACCAAGACTTTGGACCCTGGGAAAGTCATTTCTTCCCTCTGGTCATCAATTTCTATTTTAAAATAACCAGCATCCAAAAAAAATCTCTCTCCTTGGCCAGGCATGGTGACTCACACCTATAATCTCAGCACTCTGGGAGGCAAGGTGGGTGGATCATTTGAGGTCAGGAGTTCAAGACCAATCTGGCCAATATGGTGAAACCCCGTCTCTACTAAAAATACAAAAATTAGCCAGGCGTGGTGGTATATGCCTGTAGTCCCTGCTACTCGGGAGGCTGAGGCAGGAGAATTTCTCGGACCAGGGAGGTGGAGGTTGCAGTGAGCCAAGATGGAGCCACTGCACTCCATCCTGAACGACAGAATGAGACCCCATCTCAAAAAACAAAAAACAAAAAACAAAAATCCCTCTCCTTTATTTAGCACTTACTGATAAAATAATCTCAAAGCAGCTTACCAAGTAAAATTCTATGAATATGTTGTTTGGCAAACCTTACCGGATCCCACTTCCTCTAGAAGTAATACCTATTTTTTCTTAACTTAGTCTTCCACCAAGTTTCAGGCCCTTCCTCCAGTGAGTGGGTGTGGTGAGTAGAGAGGGTTGCCAGAGCCCTCATGGGGGTTAAGGTTAGCCTGCTGACACTACCAAGAACGGATTTCAGTTGTTTTTCTCCATCAACCTCTGATGTCAGTATCTTTAGTCTAATTTTTTCCAAGTGGTTTTTCCACTCCACTGTGCTGCCTCTCAAAGGCTCCCGAGTCAGCCCACTTCAGTTAAAACTGCTATGTGTTCTACACAGGAATTTCCCTACAGAGAAATGTGTTGGCATAATGAATTGTGTAAAAAGATACATAATCTAAATTCCAAACAAAAACTAACATAAATTAAGACCAGAGTTTTATATCAACCTTGTTCCTTTATCAAATGAAAATAAACACAAAATTTTTAAAAATTTTAAAACTGGGATATTATATAATTGAAACACTACACAAGCTGAAGGTGCTACCTCATTAGGTAGAAAATACTCATTAAGCTGGGCACGGTGGCTCATACCTGTAATCCCAGCACTTTGGGAGGCCAAAGTGGGTGGATCACTTGAGGTCAGAAGTTTGAGACCAGCCTGACCAACATGGTGAAACCCCATCTCTACTAAAAATACAAAAAAATTAGCCAGGCGTGGTGGCAGGTGCCTGTAATCCCAGCTACCCAAGAACATGAGGCAGGAGAATCGCTTGAAACCGGGAGGTGGAGGTTGCAGTGAGTCGAGACCATGCCATTGCACTCCAGCCTAGGCAGCAAGAGGGAAAGTCCATCTCGAAAAAAAAAAAAAAAAAAGAACCTCATCAAACAGGTATACATGATAGTTACATGTAATCACCAGTGAATAAAAATATTTCCCTGAGATTGCTCTTCAATTCTAAAACATGAGATAGAAACTGCAAAAACAGCCTAGAATTTGGGGAAGTGCTAATAAGGTTAGAAATCACGGTAAAGGTCAATATAAGCTATGCAGATTCCCCATCTGCTATGATGTATATAATACAGGAGGAGACGAGAAGCCGCTGAGGGCAACTGACAAACTGTATTATTAATACTGCCTACTCCAGTTACAATATTAAAATAATCTACCTCAGGCCGGACACAGTGGCTCACACCTGTAATCCCAGCACTTTGGGAGGCCGAATGGGGTGGATCATCTGAGGTCAGGAGTTCAAGAACAGCCTGGCCAACATGGCAAAACCCCGTCTCTACTAAAAACACAAAAATTAGCCGGGCGTGGTGGCTCGCACCTGTAGTCCCAGCTACTAGAGAGGCTGAGGCAGGAAAAATGCTTGAACCTGCGAGGTGGAGGTTGCAGTGAGCGGAGATCACACTACTGTACTGCAGACTGGGTGACAGAGCAAGACTCCATCTCAAAAAATAATCATCATCTACATCTTCATTTATAAGTAAGAATAAAGAAAAACTACCAGATTAACATAATCCCTCAAAAAAGAGTGACCAAGCTAATGCCATACGTAAGAGGAACTATGTGGCAAGCCAGAAAGATACCTCAGTTCCTAACTACTTACTCTTTTCAAAGGTCACTGCAGGCCCCAGTTCCTGGTCCTGTATTCCTGGTGAAATCATGTAATGCCTATAATTAAATCCACTTTTATTTGAGAGACTAATGGATTTCTCCCTTACAAGACAATGATTACAGTAACACCTAGGGTAAAGAAATCAAATTGAAAATCAACTATTAAAAGAAATAAAGAAAATGCTACATTCCAAATTCAGG